ATTATTAAATATGTTTACTAATCGTATATGTAATTTATCATATTGATGATGCCTGTAAACTGGCGTCCCTCATGTACAAAATGAGAATATACTATTATTTATTATTTATTTATTTATATCAAAGTAGAGAACAATGATTAGCTTACGTGCTTCGCGACTACTAGTGATGCAGTTGGGAAAGTCGAATTCGCAAGTAACGCGGGACCTATTTTCGAGAAATCTGTGTTGAGACCCTGTAACAAAATCTTACCTAAGTAGATACTCTGTTAATTGATTTTTGACAACTTTCTCCATGATTCGAGAGATGACTGGGATTATATTCATGGGTTCGTAATTGCGAACGTTTGCCTTATCGCCAGATTGGTAGTGTGGAATTATAGAGCTAGTTTTCCACTCATTAGGATAAGTCCCAGTGTCCACAAATATTGAGATGAATTTAAAAAGTAATAGGGTAATATCGCACCCACTGTTTTTGAAAATTATTGAAGCAAGGCCATCCGGTCCCGTGTTAGTAGAAGGTCTAAGGGTTTGAACTGCGTATTTTATAGATTGGTTGGTGAAAATTATGCTTCCGAGGAAAGAGCTAGTAAGAGGTGCGGTTTCTCCAGAGATGCGCGTTTCTAAACTAAAGTTCGCAAACCAATCACTGAAAAGTTCACAGATGGTGGCAGGCTCATTGTAGATTACTTTGACGTGAAGTAAGTAGGGGATGTCCCTCGTCGAACGCATTCGTTTTTAAAAAAGTGTCGTTAAGTTACAAGCTTTGGTGGTACCTTTAAGTGCACTAAACTCTTCGTCGAGGTCCTTTTGAGAGCGAAGGTGCTTGATAGATTCAAGTGACTCGTAGATTGATTGCAGTAATGATGTATCCTAAATGGAATAGTACTGTATCATCAACTTCCTTAACTTATTGAGGTATGCCCTAGGAATGTATTCAGCTTGGTGCATATTTAATTTCACTACCATCTTAGAAACAATAATATCTAGAAAAGGGTAACATTCCTGATCGTGGCAGGTTCCGAAGTTGACAAATATTTTTGGCTTTCTGCGACCATACAAGCTATCGGTTGCTAATTAGGACGATAATTTTATTAGGAAATCCAGTTTCTAGAGCCTCAGCAGAGCCATTGCCCTGGTACAAACTGCAGATTTCCCCGAAATTAAGAGAATGCACTGCCTATCAGTGCGATCAACAAAGCTATGCTACTTGACAAGATGAAATAGTCTGGGATTCCATATTAGACAAGTTTAATTCAAATATCACCCAGTGATGTAGTATTAGTAACCAGATGACATTTCGAGCAGAATTTATTGTTCATAACCATATCAGTTAGTCACACGGCTTCATGATCTGCTTTATTCGTATATTTTCTCGCTGTCTTTCTCTTGTTTTTGTCTCCACTTTCCATAACACCATTATAGACGCTGCGTGATTTCAGGTGCACATATGCATTGTTGGATCGACAAATAAAGATTAGGAGATTAACGACTATAGTGTCCAGCGTCTAACAGTGATCTGATGAACAGAAAGAAAAGTGTGTGCTAGCGTGTTAGTCACACAAGTGCTCCATGCTAGTAAGAACCATCTTCTGAGGACAAACTATATACAAACAATCATGTTTTACAGGGTTTAGAGGGGAAACTTCGGCTAATTGGTCGCATCGTCTTCAGACGCTAAGGATTCGATATAACATTAGACATGCAGACTGTTTTTACATGAGGAAACCCGCCGAATTTTACTTATGGAGTCACCTTACACACACAACGAACCATATTGGACACTGAAATCACCGCACATTTTAAGAGGTACGCTACTAGAGGTGAGGTTATCGAAAGATAGTATGTCCAGATTCAAGGTCTTGACGGGTTCCTGAATCGACTGGTTTTAATGGGCTGTAAGATATTCCTTGCCTGAATCAAAAGTCTGTAACTTGTGCTTTAAACGTCTTAAAAAACACCGCAGTCACTGCTCGAACGAGTGCATTCCATTTTTTCAAGCATGCATATATACATCTATGAATTAATATACTCAGTGTGTGAATGGCTCAGAAAACTTCAGGAAATCCATACAGTATGCTTGAACAACATACAAATTATCGAGTTTTGTTGTACTGCCACTTGTACTATAAAAACCTAAAGTCGGATTTCGCTTTTGGATGTTTCATATGTCTAACTCTACTTATCTTAAGATTTCGGTGACCATTGGCAAAGTTGAATTATGACAGCCACCCTGATCGCACCTGCCATTAACCGTGTGCGAATAATTAGGCTTGAGGAGTGGTAAAATTCGCAAATCTGCTACAGAAACTGATTAATAGCCGTTGTGTTTTGAGATGTGTGTATTGCTGATTCTGTCATTTTATCAGTCCTCAGAGAGCTGTCATTCCTTCAACCTCCCCTCAAATATAGATGTTTTAGTAATCTTAATTAATCCATTATTCACACAGTAATTAATCAACCAGTCTTCGTGGGACTCGTTTAGCAAATCTAAAACAAAAGATATAGTTTATTTGATCACGCTACACCTCTCTGATTGGTTTCCGAAAGTTTTGTGTCCAGTTGACTGTTATAGTTCAACTTCAAAGTCAAAATGAAGACTGTCACTTGTATTTGGTTTACAACGCATTTTAACTAAGCACTTGTCTATGGTTGTGTAAAATTCATGACTTTACATTCAATGCACATCCTAGAAAGACTTCTTTTTTTTAAAATACCACAAATGTGCATAACTAGTGATGTCCTAAACCACTCAGAAAGACCCATTCAATGATGATGGCATTTAAATAAAAGTACAGTCACAGATCCCATCCAAATGTGTAATAAAGTTTTAATACCTACCCAATTTATCACAGCCTCATAATCTTCTTCCAATAGCCTATTTAACTGATACAATAATAGAAATTGGGCATGTGGTAGAGCATAATTTTCATTGGATGATTTTATTTGATAAAAGCACGAGGAAACAGTGTTATGCACTGATAACGTGTTGAGCACAATTTGTTGGTCATAATCATATGAAGTCACTTACATTACTCTCACACTTCGTTTGTATCATGGCATCATTTTTTATCCCTTGATTTTATTGGTGGACATATTTATCATATCAGTGTTGTTTGGTCGTTGCGCCATTCCTATTGCACATGTTAAGTGTTCGTTCACTGGACAGCGATTTTGTGATCAAACTCCTGCTCTCTCCTTACCCATATTACTTTTTAGAATCGTAGCTCTGATTCATCGTATTTTGTGACTGCGTAGGTGCATACATTGTGATTGCTGAGTATGTCTCTTAATTATTCATCATCGTGGGGTCGGTAATTTTATACTTAGCTAAATTCCTATATTCCAGTTATCTGACTACCACAGATCTACTAGTCTGAAGTATAAAGTTGACATTGCAGTAGTTGCAAGGTATTGCGAGAAATCGTGCTCATGATGGACACAAATAAACCACCTACATATTACTTATAGATAGAGAGGGTCAGTTAAAAACTTTCTAGTTCTGGAATACCTGCAATTACTCGCACTATACGCACTAGTCTGTGGACGTAGAAAACAATATCTGTGATTTGTTGGCATGTCCAGCATTTTGGCAAGAATGTGCCTGTATTCAAGCAGAAAAACTAACCACATCCATGCGTGACGGCAATATCAATCGTGAGGGGGTCTGGTGCTGTGTTGAGTCTGGTGTTAAAACAGTAGCGAAGGCAGTCCATAATCTTCCGCTAGGGGGTCGTAAGTGCTAGTGGGGTTTTGAAGTTTCATCTGAATTGATTGGTGCATGACAGGGTCTGAAGATAACAAGCAGTGAAGCATATTTTGCTAATTAAGGCGCTCTTGTCGAACTCAAAGGTCTGTGGAGTTATCAGCTAAAATAACAACAACCGTTAATATTCGTCAGGAATGCTCATTTTCACCACTTATAGGTGGGGAATATTGCGCTTCATGATAAAAGTACTACTCGATTTGACCTTGATAGACTTCACTGTCTCAAGAGTATCAGTTTTGACCAACGGTTACGTTATAAATGTATCGATATATGCAACTTTGATTACAAATAATGTTTCAGCACTTGACTTGTTAGCAGATAAAATTCCCGTCTGTCTTCAACTCACGAATGACCGTGTTCTTTCAGGTGAAGATGCAGAATCTTGTAAACATTTTCAGCAAAACACCCAGTACGAGTAGCCTACTATTCACCCCTGTCAAATATAAATTTGAAAGGTCTTGTGTGCACCGCAAAATAGTTGAATGTGTTGACTTTGGGAAGACGCATCAGTTCTGATAGACTGATAGTTGACTAAATTTCATCCTCAGGCATAAATGTAATCTACACGAATTCTTCGTTCAGAGGATGCTTTTAGCTTAGATGGCACTGAATCGGAAAGCAAGTCAAGTATTAAGTACCTTATAATAGTTCTTTCTTCTAACCTTTCTTAGTCACCCCATATCTTGTTGATTTTCTAAGAAAATGTTCCGTTTAACGGTCTACACTAAGAAGTTAAGACAACCAGGTATCACTCAACCTCTACAGTTTTTTAACTCCTGCATTATACCTATTATTCTGTATTGTTCCCCATAGTCTTTCTGAGCTACTCAAAAGGACTATTTCATATTGCGAAGGGTATTAACAGTTTTCTGTGGGGCAAGTGATGTACCACTAAGTCAGCTCGTTACTACTGTAGAGCCGTACTGTCTGACTCTCATCACCCTCTTTATTCACAACTCTACAAATGCATCTCATCAGGTAGGTAGGACTAGAAGTCAATATATAAAAGATTATATGCTCGCACAACCAATTACAAAAACTCAACAATACCCTTTTTGGCCCGCGTTCTATATGACAGAGAAAGTATTAGGCGTGAAACTTATAACTTACTATGTAATAAGTGAATTAAATGGCTCTTTTATATTCTCCTATTCATAATTTGTGGTAACACTATTTCTAAAATTTCTTATAATTTCAGTTATTAATATTATTACTATTTTGTACATTTTTGACTATGCCAAGAAGTTGCTATTATCAAATTTTGGTTGCCTATACCACAGTGTCTTTTTTATTGTTGTTGGGTAAACTAGATGCAATATTGTACGCAATGCTGAAAATCCCATGCTGTATTATAAGTACTGTTTTGGAATAAGGCGAGTTATTATTATCATTATTATTATTGATAATGTATTTATATTTTAAACTCTTCAGATATGTACTAACTATTCAACCTTCTCATCAAGTCTATTCACTCCGGAATACAAAATTATGTTTAAAAATCTCACAAGGTACAATGTGCAATACATTTTTCGATAATTTAATAAAACCATAGTTTGTTTATGCAAGGTTTCTATGTTCAACCGGGAATTTTCAGCCGTGTGACAGGACTGCATACAACATCGAATGTTATGTAAATCTTTACATGAAAACTGATCACATATATACATATGTACCTGTTTAGGGCAGAACCTTTAAAGAAAAAGAAGAGAGTCGACCCAGCTGTTGAACAACAACGAATAGGCAGAAAAATTAGAAAAATTGAAAAAGAAATCAAACGTCTTAGTCGTTTCGACAGAAGATTGAAGCCTATTGAAGAAATAGAAGGTGATCGTCAATTGATGAAGGAATTAAAGTAAGTCGCCTGCCTAGTTGGTAGACATTTTTCAGCGTACACTTCACACTTTATATTCATCAACCATAATATTTGGAAAATATATGTTAGGCTGTTTTCGACTTCAGTAACTTGATGGCCCCGGTTAACTCAGTTGGTAGAGCACCAGACTTTTAATCTGAGGGTTGGGGGTTTGAGCCCCCCCCCCACACCGGGCGGCGGCTTTGTGCGTCGGTGGCACAGGGGTTAGGACGCTCGCCGGCTGACGCACACCTGATATCAATGGTCACCCTGATAAATTTGGGCTACTGATATCACATGCTCAAAATTCCATACTTGTACCGAAATACTGTGTAGAATCAAGCTATAATTAAGTAAAATAAAAAGGTCTGATTTCGCTAAAAAAGACATGAATTTGAATTCCTAGGTAACACCGATTATCTGAGAGTCACAGATTTATGGTTTTATAATGTAACGATAGAACTCAAGAAATATTTAGCAACTGAATTATTTTTTGGCAACTGGATATACATAGGCTAAATATGTCGACCACATATCAGAATCACAATTTGCACATACTTTCGGTATTGTGCTACTTTTGTCTTTCTTTCATGCTTCCCGTGTTATGTTTCACAAGCATCGTTCACATTTCTTCTCTTCGCCACTGAATCCATCCATATCTCAGCTATTCAATATTCTTGCAGATGACATACATTATTTATATTCAAGTATTGGTTTGTAGGGATTTGATTGATTGGTTACAGGGTTACATCATGAGCTGACATCGTTTAGAGAGAGCCATTGGAAAACCTGGTAGTACTGGACAGCTGTCGCATGGGTTATTGGATCGGGTCCCAGTGGCTTAGTGGTCTACGAGCTCGTCTTGTATCCAGAAGGTCCGTAGTTCGAACCTCAGTGGGTGCGTACTGCTGAAAAGTCCCAAAATGTGCTGGCGAAACAGCTGTCCGGTACTCCCACGCTTTCCAGTAATCCTCTAACCGATGTCAGCTCATGATGAAATCCCTGTAACCAATCAATCAAATCCCTATAAAACAATACTTGAATGAGATGCTCACTAGCGACTGGCCCTATTCAAGTAGGTAGTTACGTGGGGTCCTAGTGGGAAGTCGGGTGCAGCAGGTTGGATGTGCGGACAAATACTCGCCGAAGACATTGGCTAGTGCCAGTCACGCTATGTCGTGGATTGGCAGAAGTTAGAATTCATGGGTTGACCATTAGATCGGGTCGCAGTGGCTTAATGGCCTACGAGCTCGCCTTGTAACTAGAATGTCCTGGGTTCGAACCCCGGTGGGTGCATACACACTTATATTTTTTGTATCTATATACTACTTATACATATTGTCAGTAGCACATGCCAGAATCTAGCTTAACTTCTGAATGTAGCACTTCGATATTTTAGAATTAGTCAGCGATTTTATTCATCAGTTATGACAAGTCCGTGGAGATTCTTTTGTGTTAATAATAGCAAACGAAAAAATTTCGTCAAAAGATTCACTATGGGCAGTCATCAAACAATCAACATTTCTATGAGAAGTGATTCTACAGAAAGTTGTCAGTTAAGAAAAAGATGAATACTTTTTCAGGTTAATTTTCCCGCTCTTACTGCACTAAGAGTTAACTTATTTGAATAATGAGAGTTAAATACACTGATGGGTGCGAAAGATGAATGAAGTTCCGAATTGTCTATTGTAAAACGAAGTGGTAAGCACCAATTTGGAATCTTTCAGATGTTAACCTGGTCGCTTCCAAGGTTGATTTCAGAGTGTACAACTTAACTCTTCGTTTAAAAGGTATGGTTAATTTCAGTCAAGAGCATCTGGTGGTGATCCTGTGTAATTTCTAAGTAGCGGCAACAAGATTCCCAGCAAAGAACCCTGGTGTGTTATGAATACAGCTCATTTTTAGCAGCATTGCAAATAACATAGTAGTCTGTACAAGTAATGAATAAGCAAAATTAGCAGGTCACATCAAATGACTGAACAGCTCTGACACAAGAATCGATCGAAGATGTAAAAGCAGCAGCCAATCACAACAAATGTCGTAAATATAAAAAAGCAGGGAGGCAGGGGTTGAGAAAACTTACAAATAATGAAGAACAATGCACAAATACGACAGTGACGCATAAAGTAGCTTATCTATAAGGATGGAAACCATCGCACAGTAGATCATCTCACCTTGAGACATTGCTATTGAATGCCATATCTCAGGGACTCCCACATCTTTCATCGTTTGCTATTCGTGGGACTCATTGACACACAACACACACAGCAGAAAAGTGATCAACCACTGATGTGGTAGTTGCTGCGTTAGTAGCTGTGAGTGCATCACAACTGTCGGGATAAGATCGACCGACTTAACTAACAGCTTGGGTTATGATCAGAAATGATTTGGAATCCTAATTAGCGATGTCTGTTCAAACATACTACAACGTTCTTGTGTCTTATTTTACTTATGAATGTCCTATTTATATCGCTGTGTGGTATTGAGGGTGATGAAAAAAAGTGTAGCGCGGAGTGAAAGTAGCTCGGTAATAACAGGTCACATGTTTATGGTCACTTTGTAATATCAATTGATCGATTAGCCATGAAATTGATCTGAACCCGTAATCAAATGTATAATCCCTACGCTGGAGTTCATACACGACTGTCAGTTAGTTTCTGTTTTATAGAACACGATTCACGCAAAAACCTGCATAAGAATAAAATAGATACCGAGGTTCTCCTTCTCCAAAACGTCCAACATGACTCACCACCGACAAATCTCGAGTTACATAGGTGTAAAACGACTAATGAGAATTTACCCCAAACACGTATTTGCTTGCTTAAATCGTCTTCTATAAATTGTGATAATGAGAATATTTGACTTGCTGTTTTACCTACCTATCTATAGATCTCGTCAACGGTCACCGATAGACATCAGTGAAAATGAAGTAGATCAACGGATAAGCGTTTGGAAGTGTTGGACACGTTATCAAACAGAAGTGACACACCGAGAAAATCGACTATATAAATCAGTATTAACAGCTCAACAAAAAGCTCTAAAATGTTTGTTCGAAACATCTCCCAACTTGTACAAAGAAGCTATTCAACCTTATTCGGAATTATTAACAAAAGGCGAATCCACTGGTTCACAAAAAGAACAACAACAACAACAAGAAGGAGAAGTGGCTATGAATTTAACAACACTAACTGGTCCGTATATTGGTGCGCCTAAACTTCACGGGGAATTGATCGAGTCTACAGGTGAATATGATCCACCCGACGGGGAACACTGTGATACAACACCTAAGCTGACTTATGATTTTGAATTAGACTCCCAGTTCTTAGCTGAGCCAAAGAAAAAGAAATTCACATTACCAAATAAATAAATAAATAAATAGAAAAAAAATATTTCGTGAAAAATTCCAAATCGTGTATAATACAACAACGACAATAATAATAATTATAGGTACAGATCGCCAATACATGTCAATATTTTTTCCTACACACTGGGCCAACGGATCTACACGATAGTACTTTCTGTTTTCATTTGAAAAGTGATGTCATCTAAAACAAGATAAAGGAAAATAGTGATAATATAAAGAAAATTAAATTTTGTGGTTATGTTACAATTAAATTAAACTTGTGTACCACAATTGAGTGAGTTAGCGACCTAATGGGCTGATGATGTCAGGTTTCGATTTGACCACCCCTCACCCTCTCCTCTAACTACTCCTTTCCAACTGAATCCCATGTAAGCTAACATCTTTCGACACGGCAGGTGTGGGCGTCTCTCAGCATGCATAACACGTGTCCTGGCCATCTCTACTGATGTGGTAGCTTCGCGACCTCTACGCCTAACCTTATTACCGACTGTGTTATACCCCCCCCTAACATGAGAGAATGAAAGCAAACATCTGTGGTCAAAGACGGCTCTAACCTCTTCAGGTCTTCCACTTTCAATGGTCATATCTCATAGCTATAAAGAAGGACAAAGCGAACTGTCTGTCTGTCTGGATTCAACAAAGAACTTGGCACCGAAGTGCAGCAGTTCGAGTTGCCACGTTCTAAATAGCACACAAAGGTGGACAGGAAGATGAGTGAAGAGAATCAATAGAGTTTTAACAAGTATAAGAGTGAAACAGAATGAGTAATGGTAGAAAGGAATATGAAAGATTACAGAGACACTTGAGTGTCAAAGTCGTGTGATCACAATTGATATGATTATGAACAATAAATTTTGTTCGAAACGTCATCCAGTAAATAATACTGTTTCATTGTGTGATATATCTAATAAACAAACTAATATGGAATCCATAAGACTATTCCCTGGTAACAAGTCGATTCCTAAGTCGTTAAGTTCAGTTAAGGATACTTCCATTAGCATATCTATGATGAAGTTAAACAGAAATGGGGAAAGTGGACATCCTTGACGGACACCACTGGTTGTTATCATTTCAGATGACAATTCCCCATAAGCCCTTACACGGCTACGTGAGTTTGAGTCGAGTGCCTTGATTAGTGCGATGTACTTTCTTGGCACTCCCTTCACAGTCAAACATTGCCATAGTACCTCTCGATCCACGGAGTCGAAGGCCGCCATCAAGTCAAGAAATATGGCAATTGTTGGACGCCTAAAAGTGTGTCTATGTTCTAGGATCTGTCGGAGAGTGAAGATATGATCTATGCATCCTCTACCTGGCCTAAAGCCTGCTTGATTTTCCCTCGTTTGTTCCTCCCGAGTTCGGCTTATTCTGTGCATGATTACTGAGCCTAGGATTTTAGAGACTATGTTCGTTAGACTGATACAAAGCGAACTAATGCATAGTGCACACGTCCACGCCAAAAAGATGGCGTAAGTTGACAAAATCTGGATGAATCTCTTGTATCCCAGCTGAGATTTGTTCATCAATCAACCATTAGGACTGATACACTTTCCCGAGTAAGTGAATTGGTCAACACGCTTCACCAGGCCAGCAATCTGTTTGGAACAGTTGTGCATGATCATCTTACATTTGACAAAGACGAATTGAAGAGACTTCTATGGTCACGTTATAGTATAAGAATATTCCTTCACTGTGTAATCTACTTGATAAGCAAACTGATATGGAATTACACACTAACTCAGTTTCCACTCTGTAGTGGATGGTATTTTCGAGGCAGGTTCACAAATCACAGGATTTTATACAACTTTATCACTGATAAAATGGTGGAGTTGAACCACTGCTTCTCATTTCGGATTGATATCACGAACACAGTACTAATAGTAACATAATACAGTCAGTTAATCAGAAAAACCTTCCCAAAATGTTTGATGCAATGGACTGTTATACACAATATGGGTTTCAAAAATACACACCTCTGAGGTTGCAAATACACTTAGAACATCCTTTAATGCGTTGGTGTATTAAGAAATGTGCTTTAGACAAAAAAAGTCGTCGCTTGGTGTCATCATTGTGAACAGACAGTACGGCATGTATCAATATTGATGCAGACTGATACGGAGCGGTTGGGGATGGAAATCAGTCTTTTAAGTCAATGACTCTGCGGGGGGGGGGGGGGTAGAAGTGTTTACTCCTGAAATCCGGATTTAGTTTACGTTGTCCCCCTTGGTTTAACCTCGGTCCGGTCGACAACCAATCAGAACAGTTTATTGTCTGCTAACCTAGCCGACTTTTGTTATAGGTAGAAATGCATAAATATGATGCGGTTTTCCTCAATAAAATAGTCCGTTACCATTCCCCCTATCTTCTGTTGTTACGATAGGACTATAGTCTGTGTTAGGACTGATATATATATATATATATATATATATATACAAGGCTAATCAAAATGTACAACTACCTAAATTCCCATGTAGCTTGGGTTGGCCAGACAAACTTCCATAGGTAGAGCGAAGTTCTAACGCATGATCCAGTTGGTTACGCGTGGAGCCCTCAATCCAATAGGCTACACAGTCTTTTATATAAGACAAAATAAAACTGTCCAACAGACAATTCTACTGGGAAGTTGATATTTCCCGTCGCCAGATTTATCAACATTAGCGAGAAAAGAATAAGAAACTCAGCAAACAGATATCTTCATCACACAGAAAGCTGTACAATCACATAATTTCACATAAAGTGGAGCACAGGGCTCCAAGCCAGAGCTATGAAGTTTGGCTAACAGCAGTCGTGTTTAATTTTTAGGAGGGGTGGGTGAGGTTGCTAGCCTCACACCAAACCGGCTTAGTGAGGTTTAGGAGTGCATCGGACCAGGTGCGTGGTTGACGAGAGCTCTACCACTGAACCACCAAGGTACAATTCCACATAATATCAAAATAGATTAACGGTGATAATAATTTTCAACTTGTCATGAGAGTTCGAAGGTGTGAATATAGATTATTACAAGGGATCTTAGAAAGAAAATTACACAGGATTAGGAAGTAGTTGCGTAATATGTAAAGTAGTTTGTTTTCTTCTTAACGAATACAGGTGTGAAACGAAAGGAGATGAGGATGGAAACAAATTGATTTTATAACTGAAAATGAAAAAAAACATCTAACGGGTTAAACCGAACTAGATCCATGGTAAATGTAGAGGTTAGACTAGTTAGTTTCTCTTTTGAACACATAGCTTCAGCTTTTCGATGCATATAGCGAGGGCTTTGGTTCTGCAGTACAAAGAAGTCGGGAACACACTGTCTTTGGTAGATTTTTGTTTATTTTGTCAATGACTCCGAATGATGGATGAGTCAGTTGACATGCTGTTGTGTTGACAAGGCGTTCAATTATGACGTTTCTGATTGTGAACCAGTGCCTCTCTCCTTTGCAGCCATGCTATTCAATGTTCTCTAGTACACATTTTGAATATAATTATTCACACCTTCGAACTTTCATATGAAGTTGAAAATTATTATCATCTTTAGTCCGCTTCGTTATTATGTGGAATTAAATAGTAATAGTTGTATCTATGTAAACTTATGTATATAAATGAGATTGTATTGCTGCTTTTGAGAATGAAATCGCCGAAAAGATACTTCTGTTTGCTAAACTTCTTGTTCTTTTCTGTCCAATGTCTTGATGTGTATTTTCCACGACAGTAAATTCAGTTGCTTGGATTAGGTTTATACTGTACCAGGCGGCTATGGTCGATACTACTACCACCTAGTTGTCCACGATTTAAAGTCAGGACTAATTAACTGAAAGTCGAGTACGCCTAAGAGACGAGCTCAATCTGAGTCATTGCTGATGCCTAGTGAAATCGCGTAGTTAGCAACGCTAAATTACTGCTGGATGGATGCTTATTTTGTGAAGGGAGGGGGGGTGGCAGCGTGAAGCTATGATAATGATTTGTATAGTATATGAAAGATGGAGAATCAATATTGTAAAAAACAAAATAATTTTGCAAAGAATATCCTTTTCGATAATGTCCTCTTCTGACTCTACAATTAGATATCTGTATGTTTATATACACAGAATATTCTAGAATGGTAGTCAATAACAATATTAGTGTTTTTTTTAAATAATATCGATTTGTTAAGTAAGATCACAATGGAATTACAGTTCATTAAAGATGCATAAATTATAATAATAACAAATAGAATATAAACTAAAATTAGACAAATTTCCACAAAAATTTGAGGATCATTGGAACCTAGATGGCCAAAGTAAAGATAATGTCTGAACTAACTTCTTCTGGATGCACAAATTAGGCTTGTTAATATGGATCCCAACAGCCAGCCTCAGCAATATTTAGTAGTCGAACACTTAAAGCGAAATTGAGATTTGTTGGTATGCGGTAAATGACGCTGAAAGACACCCCGTTAACATCAATCTTGTGTTCTGTATCCACAAGATGAGATAGAATAGCGCTACGAATAGATTTTGTTTGTCCTTTACTTAACCAACCACTCAGGGTGATGTTCGGAAATCCAACGAGAAACATGCCTAATTGTACGGCCTATGCAACTAACTGGCTCACTCCACAGGAGAGCAGTTAAATTGGTAGATACACACGGAGAAGAGGCGAAATTAGGCAGTTTATCTTTTACTCCCGAACGCAAAATAGAGGTGGTTTTGAAGATACAGTGTAATTCAGCAGCACGGAATGCTCTCTTTACCACCGTATTCCTAAGGCGCTGTGTTAGTATCCTGCTGATTTTATCACCGAGGAACTGAATTTTTTAAAACAAGGCCATCCTTTTAGGAACTGTTAGCACCTTATTATCGTAATTTATGCATCTTTAATGAACTGTAATTCCACTGTGATCTTACTTTACAAATCAATATTATTTTAAAAAACATCAATATTGTTATTGACCACTATTCTAGAATATTCCATAGATATTATTGTAGAGCCAGAAGAGAAAAACTATCGAAAAGAATGTTCTATGCTCATTTTTTTTCTAG